TGTAAATAAACCACGCGGTATTAAAGAGACAGCTTGCACAATGTAATTAACATCGTAACATCGAGCGTATTTTGCAGTATTAAACACGTATTTATACCGATTTCATCAGACTCAGAAAATTCTTCAAAAAGAACACAAAGAATGGCCTTCTCAGCTGCCATAGCTGCAACTCTTGCGTCATCAGAACAGTGTTCAACGCACCACCGTTTCCGTTTAAAACACGTTTTGCACTGTTTTGTCGGCAGTGAACGCAGCCCTGGTCACCCGTTTCAGGCCGGAAGTGAGGCGAACCATATATGGTTTAGGGCGGATCTGGTCTTTATGGAGTCACACCTATGGGATCAGATTCCCGCCTAAAGTATTGCAGTCATGGATAAAAAATAAATAAATAACAAGCGTGAAAACAAAATTTAAAAACGCAAGTAAAAATATATTGCACAAGATTTAAAAATGAAAGCAAAGTTTTTAGAATAGCAAACAATGATCACGGATTGAAAAATAAGAAGCGTAAATCAAAAAATTAATAACGCATTTTTAAAGGGGTCATATGATGCGATTTCAATTGTTCCTTTATCTTTGGAGTAATGTGTTTTTTGAACCTTAAACCGCATAAACACATTTCATTACACCAAATACACAAAATAATGTTATTTTTAGCAACATCATATGAACCCTTTAAAAATAATAAGCATGAATCAAAACTTTAAACACGTTTTAAAATCATATTGCACAAAATTTAAATATTAATGCAAAATTGTCTGACTTGCGCACAAAATCATGTTTTCCTTGGTTATATTTCTCTGTTTTTTGTGCTCTCAGACATTTTCTGCTCATGTGTTTATTTGTTGTATGCTTGTGCTGTTTTCCCTTCGCTCTTGTTTCCACGTTCTGCGCTTCTTCTTCCAAATGTTACGGTTAGAGTTTCATGCAAATCAGGGCGGGTTTAAGCGTCATCATTGGTCCACTAGTTCTAGATTGACAGCTCCTCCTCAGCCAATCAGATGAAGGGGGCGGTGACATCACTCCAACGCGCCTCATTACTGCCGATGCTCAGTGTGCTTTTCACTTGTACATCTTTCATTTCAACATCTTTCCATACAGGACACCGTTACATGTGTCTGTCTGTCACTGCTGTACGCCTGCCTGGCGATCCGTTAACGTTAAATGAGTAAATTAATTATGAATAAATGAATGTAATGTTTTGCATTGCTAGATCTGACTACTGATCAATGAAGGCCATAGTGTTACAGAGGAGACAGTTACAGAGGCCAGGTGGATTTTATTTACACAATGATTTATTTGCATATTGTGTTTATTTACATAAACACTATGCAACAAGCTACATATATAATTGCATAACACTATCATAATGTTTTAAATATATAAAGTTAGAATACAGCAACAAAATAACAGTAAACCAGCCAGCAGGTGGCGGCAAGTATGTTTAGAGTAAGACATTAAATCATTCATTCAAACAGATTCATTCAGTGAGGAATAAAGTGAATCATTCAATATAAGGCTGCTGTGTGTTGCTTGTA